CTCCTCTCCCTGAGTAAGGGGATCTCGCCTGGTGCCTCCTGGGCTTCAGCTCAATTTTCCAGGTCGTTGTGGCTGAGCCAGGCTCAGCTCTGTTACACCGGGTATCTCTGCCCTCTCTCCCCTCCCCTGCCCTGCAGCGGTTTGCACTTCGACTGCGGCTGTTTACCAGGTTCTGCCTGTGCCCTGGCCTCCTTGGTACACACCGAGGTTGCTGGTTTCCCCTTTCTGTGTCCTGTTGTTCTGTTATATTCTATTGTTTGTATAATGCACAAGTTTTTCTGTTCCTATGGCCTTGAAAAGTAGGCCAGCCTCAAAGGCTGATGAGCTGAAAATGGAACGGGTAATCAGGTGAGCTGGCAGGAGTGTGTGGAGGGGGCTGGGCGGAGGGGAGGCATGGCTTTGAGGGCAGTGAACAATTTTATTCCTTGTCAGAGGGAGGAGGCATTGGGGTTGAATGTCTCAGTGTTTTCTGTCTCTGGCCACGAGAGCCCTGCCTGCTTCTGCGCAAGTGTGCATAGAGCACTGCCTGCTGTGGGCCAGGGAAGGCTTTTGGCAGCACAGGGAGGCTTATCAGCGTTTGAGATTTTCAGGAGCTACAGGTCAACAGCTTCTCTTTCATAAAAAGAGTGGAGGAAGTAAACTTCAGGCCCTGGGGTGGTTAAGTCCTAGGGTGTGGTCCAGCAGCAAAGCTGGGAGTGAAGAACCCTGCAAGGAAGGAAGGCAGTTAGTTTGAGGTCTCTCCTCTGGAATGATTTTTAAATCTGGTCGTGTTCACACCCTGGGTAAAACCTATCTTCATGGAAGTTAAGGCCCTCAGGCACTGGTTTTGGCCAACACCCCCACTTTGACCTGGGGCCTCTGATCCAGCTGCCCAGTCAGTTTTCTGAAGCTGCGGCTCTCACGCCTCTCCCTTTTGCACCTGCTGATCCCTCTGGGGGTCCTGCCCCACTTTTGCCTGGTAAGCCCCTCGACCTTCCAGACTTACTCAAGGGTTGCCTCTGGGAATCCTTTCCTGAAGCCCCCTGCTCCAAGCCCTACTTCATTCCCCTTCTGTAGTGGTGACCCCGTGGCTTTGTGATTGTGGGATTCAGGGGCCTCCAGTCACTGAGCTCTTTGAAGCTCGGGGTGTGGCTTGTGTTCATGGGGCAGGTGTGGTCCCTGCCCTCCTGCTTGCTAGGTGTGTGGGTGTTGGAGAGTGATTTGACCTCATCTGTGAGTCGGCTCTTCTCTCAGGGGGACTTTTCAGGGAGTAACTGAGAGCCTCTTGTGAAGTACCTGGTGTGCTTCCTAACCCAGGTGAGGGCTCTCAGGAGGATAGCTGTGTCTCCATTGCCCAGCCGAGTGCCTGGGGGTTAGAAGGTGTTCAGAGGCGTTTAAGAGAATGAGCAGACGTACCTGACGGACGGGGGGTGCCTCTGTGCTTTGGTGCATGTGTGGGTTTTGGGTTGTGGAAGTCCCGAAGTCACCACGTGGCCCTGGGTTCTCTGCTTCCTGTTTGTCTTGAGCTCTGCAGTCTTGTCTGGTAACCAGCCACCCTCCCAGTCAGACAAGAACTCAGGCCCACTCCCTGGTGCCCTGGGTCTTTTCTGAGGATGCAGACTGCTGCTTCAGTCAGTCCTGAGCTCCTGGCTTGATGAGGTCTGAAGCCAAGGGAGGGCGTCCTTGTCACACTTGCACCTGTGCTTTCCAGTGCGCGTGCCTCTAGCCACAGGTGGCCTTTGAGCCTTTGAAATGTGGCTGGTCCAAGCTGAGACGTAAATATGCACTGCAAATTCTGTACATATACACTGATTTCAAACACGTAGAACTAAAAAGAGGAAACTCAATTTTTATATTGATTGCATGTAGAAATTAATATTTTGGATATATTGGGCCAAATAAAATCTATTACTAAAATTAACTTCATTTGCTTTTACTTTTTTTTGTGGGGCTACCAGAATGTTTAAACTTGCCTAAAGAGGGCTCATGGGACATTTCTGTGGGCTGGCGCTGTCCAGTCCAGAGAAGCAGCCCGTGTAGTGTGGTTGGCGGACATTTGATCTGGAAAGACCACCTACTAAAGCCCCTTTGTGAGTTAAGGAAATGGAGAGCCCGATGTCCCGAGAGGTGAAGCCATGCCCCCAGGTGACAGCCTGCGTGAGACCAGAGTCTCCCCACCCACCCAGTGTTCCTCTCACTGCACTGTGATTGGCCCCCCTGCCCTAAAGTCAGCTCACTGCCAATATGCGGACGTATCTGGGAGGTAACTTCAGCCACCAGTGGGATGGTTCTACTAGGCTCTGTGAGAAGACCACCTGCGGCAGGTGTTTTCAAGTGTAGGGTGCTGGGGGAGGGTGGGGGCCGGGGAAGGGGAGAAGAGGAATTAGGGTGCAGTGGGCAGCCTCAGTGGGTGGGTGCCCAGGGTGGCCTCTGATCAGCTCGCACCAACTTGTGAAGGAGACGACTTCCCTCGTGGCCCCTCCAGCCCCTTCCCCATGAAGGAGAAAGACCACGAGGTTCAGGGAGCCATGACAGTGGAGGCTGCTGAATGCCATCACCAGTATCATTGTTAGAGTTTTTACCCGAGACGTCAAGAACCTGCTCGTAACATACTTGGTGGTTCACAGAGAGAACTCAGAAGTCAGTTTACTCAGCGATGTTTACTGAGCATCTTTGATGCACCCTGAAGGGGGGGGTACACCAAGATGTATAACCACCCCTGCCTTCAAGGTGTTCCAGCTTTGTAGGGATGCTTAAACATGCGCACTTACATATACCAAGGGTCCAAAGTGAGGGGTGATGAGTGTAATGGAGGAAGTAATAAAATAAGCTACGGGAGTTTGGAAGGTAAGTAAATAAATGGTTAATAAACTAGCCGTCATCCTTTATTGGGGATTTACCATGTGCTTGGCACTTAGCTTAATCATGAGTCTCAATTTTTAGGATCTTCCAGTATAAGACAAAATCCAACTTGTAGTTTACTAAGTACTGTATATATCAGTGCATTGTGTTTGGGATGCTCTCAGATGGAAAGATGATTAAGACATGTGTCTCATCCTCTAGAAACAGTGTAAATAGGAGAATATAGAAATGGTGCTCAGCAGAACAGATTGCTACCTAATAAAATAAAGAAAAAAGTGTTCTCACCCTACTGGCCAGAGATAGGCACCTGTCAGGGATGGAAGGGAAGATAAGTCTGTATCTGTGCCTGGACACTTGGAGAGGCGCCACACCTGTCTGGAGAAGCTCCGCGTGGTAGTTCCTTGTGGAGAAGCCTTGGGTTTGCCTGCAGTGACGTGGCCCTTGGTGGTCAGGGCCTGGGGAGTGAAGACAGAAGCTGGGTTACTCAGCACGGACTGGCCTGTGGTGGGGAAGTTTGCAGTGAGACCAAGGGAACAATAAAGACCCTGCCCACCACCAAACTGGGGAGGGGAAGGGAAATGGGGAGAAGTTTAATAAAATGGCAAAATCTGAAGCAGAGGAGAGGGGCTGTTACCGAGGCCAGCCCCATTGTCCCACCCGCTCCAACCCGGGGAAGTAGGGCAGACCCTGGCCCTTCCACACCATTTGTGGCCACCAAGAGGAGGTTCTGTCACTGAGCAGAGAGGCAGCCAGGACCCTGATGTCCTTCTGCACTTTCTGGGTAAATTAGGAGGAGGGACTGATGATAAACTGATCAGGAGAAAGATGTGAAAACGGTGGTGGAGGGAGATCACGCTGCGGAGGAAACAGGAGCAGAGGAAGTGCTGAGCTCCAGCTCTGTTCACTAAGGGGTACCTCCTTTAATTCCCCAGCAGCCAGGGAGGACTTGATGGAGGTGGGAACGGGCTTCAGCGCAGGGGCTCAGCAATTTGCTCAAGCACAAAGCTTAGACCCCCCCTTCCTCCCACCGTGAACCCTGCGTCCCCACCGCCCCCGCAGCCTCCTGGACTGGGCTGGCTGCAGGGAACTGAACCCCAACCAGGTGCCGTCCCTGCTTGGGCCAGGCCTTCCCTGCAGGTCAGCTAGTGTTTGGCAGCAGGAAGAAGTTTGGGGAGCGATGAACATTTATTCTAGCAGCATTTTTACATTCTAAAATGAAAAGCAGCTGGAATTACAAAGGCTGATCCTAGGAGCGCAGGAACCCGGGATTCCCGCGCTTGCGGCGCCCAGGACGCGACCTGACGCCCCTGAGCC